CGGTTAACTGCCATCTTGGCTGGTGATTAATTTGCATATCTCGATAATTAGCCAATGGGAAGGGTAGCAGTCGTACGCTAATTACCATGTTTCTCTTTTATTAGATTAAATAGGGAGTCCTCTGTCTCTGCTGTTTGGGCTTTGTGCCACTCAGAACCAAAGGCCATTTACTGTGCTGGGTTAGTGTGAGATCATTTATTTACTGTAAGGGTTTTTGTTTCTGTTTTTGAGATCTCATCTTATATGCAAGATTTCATATTGTTAGTCTACTCAGAAAGAAAAAAAATCTCTATATATAAAAGGCTAATATGCAAAGTGTCCCCTCGGGAGTTTGATCTCTCGTTATGACGTGCGCTGACCACCAGGGGAACCGCGTGGTGGTGGTGGCGCACGGGCAGCAAGGGAAGGAGGAGGCAGGGAGGTGGGGAACCTGATCGGCCTAAACATAGTTTTCCCAAGTCTTTGGTAACAAAACTTTGGTTTGTTGGGTTAAATAGTAAAAATTACTAAATATCTAGCTATTTTGAAATAACAGGATATTGAAATATTAATTTGAATTTGCTTTGTATGGAGAATCTAGAGCAGTGGTTCTCAACCTTGGCTGCACATTAGAATCACCTGGGAATCTTTTTAAAATCCTGATTTCTGGGTCTCATGCTCCGGAAATTCTGTTTCTTTGTACCTAATGTTGTGGCCCCACCCCATAACAAAGAAACAGAATTTCCGGAGGATGAGGCCCAGAAATCAGGATTTTAAAAAGATTCCCAGGTGATTCTCATGTGCAGCCAAGGTTGAGAACCCCTGATCTAGAGGATGGATTTAAATCTGTTAATAAATAAGTCTTGTATTTTATTTGAAATATATCTTTAAAAATGTGAATGTATTGCTAATTTGAGGAATGTTAATTACTTACATTTCATCTAAAAGTAAGGTTTCTAAGTATTAAAAATGCTAACTAATAGGAAAGAAATTATGGTTTTGGTGTAATAAAAGGTTTGTGAAAGTTGTAAAATGTTTGTAAAGAAAAATGTCAAAAGGAAATTATATAAATGACACAGGCCAGTAAGCCAGAAATAGGGAAACAGAGATGGTTAAACAGCAGTTTGGAGCCATCTAATAAATCCTATCTTCCCTAAACCAAGGACACTTAAGAATAAATGATTTGCATTTTGACAGAGGGTAAATAGCTTATATCAGCCTACTCAGGGAGACAGAGAGCAGAAATGTAATTAATGCCATTTGCTGACCACACCCAAGGACAAATGAAATTAGAGAATAAACCTCAGAAAAATGTTCTGCTTAAGGTACATGGGAAGCTTTTTTTTTTAAAAAAAAATATATTTCTTTATTGATTTCAGAGAGGAAGGGAGAAGGAGAGAGAGATAGAAACATCAATGATGAGAGAGAATCATTGATTGGCTGCCTCCTGCACCCCTTACTGGGGAACGAGCCCGAAACCCAGGCATGTGCCCTGGGCTGGAATCGAACCTGGGACCCTTCAGTCCGAAGGCTGACGCTCTACCCACTGAGCCAAGCCAGCTAGGGCTACATGGGAAGCTTTGTCAAATAAAGAAATAACTATATTATGCTTTCATTTATAACTCTAATTGTTATTCTAGAATACTGTGTTTGGCAGGAAGGATTAAATTGCATCAGTTGTATTATAATCAAATCCATAACGGTCTCATTTTAGAGACAGTCACTGTTGGTTATAATGCATTTGGAAAAAAGAAAGTAACATCTTCTGAGGGATCCATGAAAAGGACTGACATTTTCAGATCATCCGCTTTGAAATGGATGAAAATGGTTAGAACTCTTAGAGTGCCTGGATTTACAGAAGTACTGGCAGGGAAGATCAGGAGAAACAAAAATTGATTATGGGACACCTGTGCCCCGCCCAGCCCTCCCCACAGAAGATGGGCGGAGAGGGGTCCCCAGGTGCAGTGGCAGGAGGGAGCGCTTCCCCGCCACCACCTCCCCCCAGTCCCTCCCCAGGTCTCCAGCCACAAACATGGTTTCAGAAACCTGGGGACCAGCGCCAGCACGCACCCGAGGCTCCCAGCACAAAGGACAAATAAATAGGGGGTGCACCACACAAGCTGACACCTCAGCACTGTGGGCGCCATGACCCACCCCCACCCCGAGGACAAGAAAACCAAAGTAAGAACCCACGGCTGCACAGGCTGCTCTCTGGCTCCACCAAGATCAGACAGAGGACCAGGTGGCTGGACACAAGCGGGTGGGTCTGCAAATGAGAGATGGGAGCAGGAGCTCCGGACTTCTGTCCTGGGCTGGGGACCTTCCCACCCCACGTGGTCTACGGCCCCCCCAAAGCAGGGCCTGGGGAAGTCTACTGAGCTGCACCCAAGGCTGGAGGGTGCGGGATTAGGTTAAACCTCCTACTTCTGAAACGCATGTAAGCGGCCGCTGTGCAGGTTAAGCAAAATAATAAGGAAAGAGGAAAATTGAAGTAAAACTATGTGCTTGAAAAAGGTCGGTGTGGGCGCTGCACCACAGGTCACTGCTCACTGCTGCTTGCACTCAGAGGGCTGATGGGCTCCTAGAAACGCATGAATGACTATCAGACAAAAATTACACCTGGAGGCTCAGGCCAGCATCGGCCTCTTCTTCCTCCTCCTCTCCTTCTGACTCCTCCTCTTCCTCACCATCCTCTCTGGCCTCCCCCGTGAAGTGCAGCATGGCCCCCGGGACTAGCCGCTCACGGAAGAAGTGTCCTTGCTCTTATATCTGTCTCACTGCCTACCACATCCCCTCAAGGATCTTGCCTCTGAATTCTTTCAGGGAAAAGGGTGTAGAGTCATTTCTGAAACTACTTCATGCTGAGGAGGGACGCAGGTTTTCTTTTAGAAACAGGAGACCTTTGCTCTCTGTCAGAGGGACAATGAGG